GACGCCATGTTGCATCCGTTACTTTTCTGTTGCTAAAAGAAGCCAGCCTTGAACTCCTGATCCTCCTCCCTCAGCCTCCTGGCTGTCAGAAATATAGGTATGCACCACTACACCTGGTTTTAAATGATGTTTTTAGGAAGCAGATATTTAATTTACTGAGCACTTTTCTTCTGTGGGTATCTGTGTGCATATGTGGTGTGAGTTCATGTGTATGTGTTCACATGTGTATGTGTTCACATGTGTGTGAATGCATCTGTGGGGGAGGTTCCTGTGCCAATGTGTGTGTATGTGCTTGTAAAAACTCAAAATTAATGTCAGGTTGAAGGGCCCAGACCCTCACCCAGCCCCCTGCTTTGTCAGCCATGACAGGCTGCAGAAAACGCCCAGAAAGATGTAGGCCCCTGACTCAGCATGATATGCTGAGCACCCCCCGACCCCCCAACACACACCTTGTCCAACCTTGCCCTAATTACTGGGAATAAACTGCCAGATACCCTTCATGTGATAAGGAACCAATCCAAAGTTAGCTGGCAGGCTTTGGATGTACTTTACTGATAATAGTGGAATGCAGTAGGTAGCGATGGCCCTTGGATGGCCTCCAGGCATAACAACCTTTCTGCAGCTGCAGCTGACCAATCAACTTAGGACAGGTTCCCCCATCCCAGAGTTGCACCAATCCTGAGACTGTTACTAAGCAACTAGCAGACCCCCAGACACCTGCCCTTGCTCTACCTCCAATATGTGCCCTGTCCCACTGATGCTCGGGGTTCCTCCTACTCTACTCACTGGGTTGGACAGACAGAGGACCAGAGTTAACTCGTAATTAAAAAGACTCCTTGCTTTTGCATCAGATCTGGCCTCTTGGTGGTTTTGGGAGTTCAGAGTCTGGGCACAATAAGGTGTCCTTTTCTATTGCTCTCCACTTTTTTATTGAGGCAGAATCTCTCACTGAAGCCAGAGCTCGCCGATTACAGCTACTCTAGCTAACCAGCTTGCCCTGTGGATCTCCCATATCTGCCTACCAGGTGATGGATTACAGGCAGGTCACAGTGCCTATCCAGCTTTTCCCTGGATTCTGGGGAGCTGAACTCCAATTCTCATGCTTGCACAGCAAACATTTTTATCCACTGAGCAATTTCCTCAGTTTCCTGTTGAGTGGTTTCAGTATCAACCAAGATAAGTTTATTGTATAGTTTGAGATGCTAATAAATGTATATTTCCTTCACAATATCAAAATACCCTTGCATTCCTGGGTTATTAATAACAATATTAAAATGCCTTTGTGTGCCTGGAATAGATCTTCTGCAGTCCAAGAACATGCCTAATATTCTGTTGGATTGTAAACATTGACAGTTATTTTCAAATTTCATATTTCCATTTATGGAACTAAAATAGAACTGGGAGATGGGTATGGTAACTTTTGAGGGTTCTAGAATTTGGATAATGTTAGGGTTAGAAATCCTACATTTTGCCAGGCGGTGGTGGCACATGCCTTTAATCCCAGCACTCGGGAGGCAGAGGCAGGCGGATCTCTGTGAGTTCGAGGCCGGGCTGGACCGACAGCCTCCAAAACACTACAGAGAAACCCTGTTCTCGTAAAAACAAAAACAAAAAAGAAAGAAAGAAATCCTACATTTTAGCTGTATACAGGAACAAGATCTATACCATAAAAAAATGTTTTATTTGACTTTCAAGAATTGCATGTGACTTCATCAGCCAAATTACAGCATAATGTTTTATGAAGTCCTTGTTTATCTATAGACTCCGTGCTGATGGAGCTACGATATTTCAATGACCTGCACTGAGTTTTTACTGTGTTTTAGTTCCATTATAGCCTTCTAATGGCTCTATTGGTCACATCTTTGGAGCGTAATGTTCATGGGAATCTGACTAGAAATGAGTTTTTCTAAGTATACAAAATGGTTTTTGTGCTTATCAGTAGTATAGTATTGCTTCATGTCATCACTAGGATTGGGATCCGAACCCAGCAAATACTGTTCTGTGAAAGGGATTGGCTATTGTGGGGATTCCTTAATGGGAAATACTTGAAAATATGGCTGTAAACCTTGAAATTGGAAAAAGTCCTTGTTTTTTCTATTGCTGTGAAGAGACATCATGAGACATGGCAACTCTTACAAAGGAAAACATTTAATTGGGGTAGCTCCCTTACAGTTCAAAGGTTCAGTCCATTATCATCATGATGGCACATGGTGGAATCCAGGCAGACATGGTGTTAGAGAAGCAACTGAGAGTCTTACGTCTTTCAGGCAACAAGAAATGATCTAAGACACTAGATATGATTTGAGCATATATGAGACTTCAAAGCCTACTTCCACAATGACACACTTTCTCCAACAAGGCAATACCTACTCAACAAAATCACACCTCCTAATAATGCCACTCCCTATGAGCTTATGGGGACAAATTACATTCAAAGTACCACATATACTTTGTACTTTTGTCAATTCAGTGGTAATAATATGTATTTTCTCATATGTACCATTTGTAGATTTTTCCCTAATAAAAGCATTATGAGTTTGAATTCCATTGTTATTATTTTGCTTGATTTTATTTTATGTTTGTATTTTGTCTGCAGATATGTCTGTGTAGTTTTTGCATGCCTAGTGCCCACAAGGCTGAAAGAGGGTATCGTATCCCCCACAGCTGGAGTTACAGATGGGTTCTGAGCTTTTGTGTGAGTGCTGAGAACCAAACCTAGGTTCTCTGCAAGAGCAACAAGTACTCTTACTCACTGAGCCATCTCCATAGCCTGCTTTTATGACTTTCATAGCAAATTAATGAACATGCCAGTCATTTTAGATGTGAGTAGTGATTTTATTTTATTTTTTGAAACAAGATATCATGGTCATTTCTTTAATCCCAGCATTTGGGAGGCAGAGGCACGTGGATCTCTGTGAGTTGGAGTTGGTATACATAGTGAGTTCTAGGACAACCAGAACTATATAGTGAGACCCTATCTTGAAAAGAAGAAACAAGATCTCACTCTGTATCCCAGGATGGCTTAGAACTTGAGATCATCTGGCCCAGCCTCCCAAATACCACCTCACTAGGTATAGTGTTTTCTTACATATTCAACATAGTTTTAGCTGGGTGCTCACATAATTGTGGTCCAGCTACTGAGAAGGCTGAGGCAGGAAGATCTCTTTACCCGGAAAACCAAAATAGCTTGGGCAACATAGCAAAAGCCCATGTCAAAGAAAAAAGAAAAATATTTATACATATATACATGTACATATGTATATAAATATATTGTTTTCTCCCTTTTCTCACACCATTTCTGGTATCTCCTTTTTTTACAATATTTCAGAGAAATGTGTCCATTGTTTCTATGTTTATGCAAAACCAGTTGTCAAATGTTATTTATTTCATTTTCACTGTACTTTAAATATCTTTATTCCTATTTGTATCTTTTTCCCCTCTAAAGGATTTCTCACTCAGCAGCATTTTCCATCATCTCACAGTTTTCACTGGGATCAGTTCTCTAATGACATTAATACTTTACTAATATCTTTTGAGCTGGATGCATGCAAGTTGCTGGGCAGGGGCATCACTTTTCCTTGAGATATATGAACAACTTGTATTCATTCTAGACAGGGGACTAACAAAAGACCATGGAAACCATTCCACCCAAGTCTAGCTTAGTGAACCAGTGAGTTTATGGGGGTCACTTACAGGTCCATGGGTGACTTGAAGGCAGAATGTAAGCAAAAGTCACCACACCATGGGCATTGACTCACAGGAGCTGCATCTCTAGAGCACCTTGTGGCTCGTGCAGGCAGACCATCTGCCTTGACAGTCTCCTCTTCCCTGAAACTGCTTAGTTTTCATAACCCTGGGAAGGAGCTGCATGAGTTTTGTGACTTTCTGAGCTTCCGGGATCTACTCATTTTCTTGGCCTTCCTAGATAGAAAGGAAGGCCTTCTTCCTTCTCTAGGAGGGAATGTTTCAATGCTGAGGAAATACACAAGAGTTACTAACTCCCTTCCTCAAACTCAGCTTCTGATAAATTAAAGATGAAGGATGGGGCAAGAATCTGAGGACAGTGCATGATAAAAGTGTGTGAAAGGGGCTGGAGAAACACTTCAGCAGTTATGAGCGCTTACTGATCTTGTAGAGGACCAAGGTTCTGCTCCCAGCACCCATAGTCGCTCACAACAGCCTATAACTTAAATTCCAGGGAATCCAGTGCTCTCTCTGACCTCTGTGGGCTCTTGAACATGTGTAATGCTTACATATGCATGTAGATTTAAAATAATAAATTAACTTTAAGAGAAAAATGTATGTGAACACTCCACACCCACACTGTCCTCATAAGATAAAAGAATCCAGATGAGTGTGGCCCAGGAGCCTCAGAACAAGGGCTGCCATCTCTAGGCAGGAAGGACGGGAGGACTTCCAGTTTCACTAAGATTCAGTCCCAGGACTCAGCCAGGATCAGTAACAGCCAGAATAAATCAAAATGAGAAGATTTATTTATTCCATAGCCTGGAATCAGTAGTATTCAATATTTACAACACTATACAACTAACATGGATAAATATAGCTCAAAGGAAGAAACCTCCTGTTTTCTCACCTGAAGAGATGGGATATGTGTGAGTGTATTGTGAGAGTATGTGTGTATATGTTTGTGTGTGTGTGAGTGTGTGCATGTGTGTGTGTGTCTGTCTCTCTGTGTGTGAGTGTGTGTGAGTGTAAGAGAGTGTATGTGTGTCTCTGTGTGTATGAGTGCATATGTGTGTGTGTGTGTGTGTGTACCCAAGCTGATGGATTCATGACATAATTTGCAGAGGAAGCTGCCCAAAACAGAGAACCCTTTCTCAGACAATGTGCTCCAAAAGGTGACTCAGCCAGGGCCACTGCCCTACAGAAATCTCCACAGGAGCCTGAAAGACAGCCTGCTGTTCATGCTCCCTGCCTAAGAAACGGACATGAGGGGAGAGCCCATCTAGGAACCAGCAAATAGTCTTGAGTCAGAAACACCACACATTTATTTTTAAATAATAAATAAACAGCAAAGGAAATACAGGAAAGAAAACATTCATTAATTCAAGTCACTAAAGTGCTTCCAAACATTAATCCAAAAGGACCAAGAAATCAGGTCTGATCTTCAGTCTCCAGATATTTAACAATTGTCTAAACATGTCTCCAGGTGATTTCAGAGGAAGGGAGTATGGCCTTCTTTGCTGTCTATGCATTGAATATTCAAGGCCTAGCAATTAACACTCAGAATTCAAAATTACTGCCTACCATGAAAATGAGAATGTCTAAGACCCAGTTCAAGGAAAGGTGATATAGCATTCATTCATTCATTCATTCATTCATTCATTCATCTGTTTAGAAACTCCTAGGAATGTAAAATAATTATATTCACACTGCAACCCCAGCATTGGAGAGGCTGAGGCAAGAGATGACAAAATTGAAGCTAACCTGGGCTGTACAGCAAGACCCGGTCTCATTAAGCCAAACCAAAAGCTCCAACTTGGAGTGGAGAGCCCTCTTAATGATTGAATCACATCTCAAACGATACAGGTGGTAATAATATCTATCTATCTATCTATTTATCTATCTATCTATCTATCTATCTATCTATCTCAGGTCTTGTATAGCCCAGCTTGACCTCAACCTGGATGGTCTTAAACATCTGAACCCTTGTTTCCACCTTCCGAGTACTGGGATTACAGGTGTGCACTACCACATCTAGTTTATGTGGTGCTAGGGATTGACCCCAGGCTTTTGTGTGTACTTTCAATTGAGCTAAATTATACCCCATCCCATCTTTGAACTTCAAGTCTTCCCTGCTCAGGTTCTACAAAGAAGAAACAAAATTTTAGACCAGCTTGACTGATTCAACAGGTTGTACGAAATGTTCTCCATTCTAGAATTAAATGAAACTTGCCTTCAATTATCATTTATCCAGATGTTTCAGGAAGGAAATCAAACTGGAGGTATTTGTCTTAGACCAATTTTCTCTCCAAAAACTGTTTCCAATTTTTGGAGGAAGCGATCTGTTGGTCTCATGAGGCTTCCACTTTTGGGGGCTGGAACACCTGCAGCCCTGGGTCATGGGAACATCCCTGAGCACTGGACTCCAGGGGCATTTTCTTGGTCTCCTGCCTGGAAGAGCTGGACAGGTCAATGGCCACATCTTCCACGCTGTCCTCAGGGTCCAGAATTGTTTTGTCTGGGCCTTTTCCAGGTCCATCCTGACCCTTATTAGCACCTTCCTTGAGGTGGTCAAAACCCCAGAGTCCTAACTTGTCTTCACTTTCTGATTTCCTCATCCCTGAAGACTTTTTATGCATTCCTGAAAAATAAAAACAAACAACAAAAAAATTGCTTTGTTTTGTTTTGAGGCAGGGTCTGTCTATGTAGTTCTGACTGTCCTGGATCTTGCTATGTAGAACAGGCTGACCTCAAACTCACAGAGATCCACCTGCCTCTATATCCCAGGTACTCAGATCAAAGGCATGTGCTACCATACCAGGCTCAAAAAATATCTTTAAATTCAGCAAGCAAGCGCATTCCTTTCTTACCACTATTCTTTCTATCTCTAAAATTTTCTTGTCAGTGTTCCTCTAGAGCCTATAAAGAGCGGTAGTTAACTCCCAACATTAGGGTTTAGAAGACCCTATCCACAAGCTGTCACTCCTGCAAAATTGCTTTGTTGGGTGACACAGTAACTTCACATTTGTTTGAATAACAAAGTGCCCTAGTTCAGCACAAAACCCACTTGCTTGTGTGACTGAAGTCCCATGCCAGCAAGGACCCCCATTTGTGGGGCATTACTTCTAATCTCTTTGGTCCTTAGGCAAAGTCAGGGCGTATCGCAGGTTCTCGGCACAGTACCTAACCGGAAAATGTTTGCTGAACTTTCCAACTTAAAATACCACTATGAGCCACCTAACTAATTTTCTGGTAGTGATCATCTTATGACTCAGGCCTCTGAACTCTGAACCCAAAGAGATCAGTCAAGGGTAAGGGCACCAGAAAGGGCTTGACCTCACCAGTAGAGGTACTACCCTAGGGCAGGTTTGTTAAATCAGAACCAAGCCCTGACCTATTACTTCAGCGGTGCCAACAGAAGGGAATGCTCTAGATTGTCTCTACTCTGCATGGCCCTATAAACCTTGCTCTCTAAACCGTGTAGTTTATAAACTGTCTAGTAGCATTCACCACTTTGAAAATATGTATCAAACACAAGGCATGTCTCTCTATTCATAAGTTTTGAATACATATTGACCAATGTGAGTAGCCTATGAGGACTATCCCACACACTGCCTCCACAGTTCCAACGAAAATTTAAGGCTAGGAATGAAAGACAAATTAGAGTCCAAACTGGGCCTAAATCTGAGACCTCTCCTGCTTTGCTCTTGTAAACGCATTGTAAGGTCCCCACCCAACTCTCTGGTCTTGTTCTTAGCCTGGCTTACCGAGAAGCCAGGGCGCACAGGAGCCCTGCAGGCTGTCCACTGAGTTGAGCACAGAATCTGGCAGTGGAATGCAGTGGCGCACCATGGCCCCATAGAGCCCGTACTCAGCCATCACGCTGCTGCCACCCCAGCGCTTCTCTCGCTTACGCCACTTGGCTCTCCGGTTCTGGAACCAGACCTGGTTAGAGGCAGAGGGGAGTCCGAAAGGCTCAAGAAAAGACACTATGAAAAGGGATGCCTGGAGGAGCGTGCATGACATGCCCCAGGACTCTGAGTCTACAAACAAAGGGCCCGTTCCCCACCCACAGGCCTGAAGACCAGCATGACAGCAGCCCTCCAAACCTGCAAGGACACAGCATCATGAGGATGAGACAGGAGTCGCTTCCTGTGAAGTTTTCTAAGAAGTCAGAAAGCGGAAAATAAGGGATGAGAAGGACTCTTTCCTGCAGTGTGTTTATATGAAGGGGCTGCCCACGGCGTTTCCTGGTTTTCCTGTTTAGGATGTCTGCAGGGGCAACGGCCCCTTGGCCCCTTCAAATCTTAGACTGAGGGATTGCTGCTATTTCTCCTGAAGAAAAGTACATTAATCTAAACAATACAAGATAACCTGAAGCTTAGGGCAGCAGGTCACTGGCAACTCTTCCAACAAAGCACATTTGCCAGCACAGGAGAACTTTCAGGATGGATACTCTCTGACACACAGACAGCACCACGTGACACCTACTCAAGCTGTATGCATCTGGTGATTTCTTTAAGAACTAAAGACCAGAGCCAAACACTTTTGCTGATATTCAGTTTTCTAGTTCAACATACAATTGAGTGATTTCTTTTGAAACATCATTTTTATTAATTTTGTGTGCGTGACTGTAGAAGTTGGTGTGACACAGCACGTATATGGATGCCAGAGAAAATTTTACAAGAATCAGTGCTCTCCTACCAAGTGGGTTCCAGGGATCCAACTCACAACTGCACAATAGTTGAGCATAGGTTAAAGACAATGATAGAAGAAAGAAAGGCGCGAAGGCCAGAGCTGTCGGCATCTTTAACTAAGTCACTCTCCGTTCTCGAGTGAAGAGGACCATCCTGGGCTGTTCTGAGTGGCTATGGGCTGTTCACTGTGTGGGGGAATGTCCTCTGAAGTGTCTTTAGAGGAGAGGAAGGACACCACTAGACACCTGTATCCGGTCTTCGGGGAGCTCTGTTTTCACAGCCAACATCTCCCGGGCATACACGTCAGGGTAGTGAGCCTCACCAAATGCCTTCTCCAGCTCTTCCAGCTGATGGGCAGTGAAAACTGTCCTGCAGAGAGCCAGAAATACACATGAAATTTTCCAGAGATAAAAACCCAGTTACAAACCCACCAAACCATGTCTTTAGATTTGTGGAGATTTCCCTGCAGCCTCCTGGGAATTGTGGGTCGTCTTTGCAAATGGCTATGTGATGCTCACTACCCTGACTCTCTATACATTCTCAGACACTGTTCTCAAAGACAGTGGGGTTGTGTCCACCAAGACAGGCAGAGAAGCCTGGACCCATACCTGTGCCTCCGCTTCTTCCTCTTGCCCGGGGTAGGGGACATCTTCAGGTCACTCTTTTCTTCAGATGGACTGTCCCCATCTGTTGGTACAAGAAGATAACTCTCTGAAAATGTGAAAAATTTGGCTATATTCTGGGCTATATATTTTGCCATATTTTAATGTGAGGGTTAACATTGTGCATCTCTTAAGACTGTGCTTACTGATACACACAAGCAAAGAGAGCAACTCCCACATTCCAGACACTGTCCGCATTATTTCAACTATTCCTCATAAAGTAAAACATAAAGGCAGCTGGTATCATTGCCCTGCCAGATCAAAAGGCCAAGTTGCAGTGATGAAGCTGGAACCCAAATTTCACTTTCTTTAAAGCCAATGCTACTTGGCTACCAGAGTTCCACAGCTGATAGACCACCATGCTCCAGTCGCCTCCCGCCTCCCGTCAATGCCCATGTGGACATTTCTGAGAGGCATGATTTGTGACACCAGAATCTTTGTCAGAACTGATGCACCCATTCTGGAGACACAGCCCAGGAAGCTTATGAATGCATGACACACATGTTCTCATGGTGTATAGCTTCCCCTGGAAACAATACCATTCAACTGTGCAGTTGTCTACCCATATTCAACACAGCAAAAGATCTCAGGGTAAGGAAGGCTAGAATCCAAATTATTATCAGATTCGTCATTCAAAAACAGAATTGCCCCAAAATATTTTAATGAGTAAAGAAAAAGCAATGAAAGTACATCAGTTTGTCTCTATTTCAATGATATCACCACAAAACAGCATGCTTGAATTACAATATTCTGCATTTTCCTACAGAGTGTCTGGAAGCCATTGGACACTTGGGGTGAGAAAATGCTTGAACAGTGGCTACTAAGACTTGCAGCAGATATAAAACACTCCGTCAGTTTGGAAAACTTAATATCCCCAAAGCATAATCATTTTATAATGATTACACAGAAAGGATAATATTTGCGTGTATTGGGTTGGCAATCTAGTATTTAAATCTATGCCAACCATTTCTTTTTTCTCTTAAGGCCACAGAATTTCTCATCAGTCAAATGATGGTATTTCTGAAGGAACCGCCCTTGCAAAATAAAATTTACTTGCATTTTTTCCTTTCTTTAATATTCTGAAAAGAAGCCACCCAATGAAGATAGTCCTTTGGATTTTAATGACACAACAAACAGAGGGTTTCCTTTCATCCTACGGAGAGGCCAGGACTATGCGATAAAGTCGGTTTTCCGTAGAGAGCCCCAGAGATTGGCCCCTTTGCTCCTCAGACTCCACTCTACCTACCTAGTCGGTTGCTCTGCCGGACAGTGTTTCACTAGGTCGGCGATTTTTTGCATAATTCTCTCCCCTCCCTCTCACATCGCCAACCTAGTTTCTTGCACTGAGGAATGAATATCTTAGGTTCCTTCTCTTTTCCCCACAATCGAAACTTTTTCCCCCCTGAGGAAAATAGGTGGAGTCCGAACAAAACATGAGTTGGACGGATAGCTTCTCTCACTTGCCTGTATTGGGAAGAAGGTGATAGGAAGAGAGACAGAGGCTGGAGACCCAGGACTGCCTTCTTAGCACCCGGAGAGAGAGACCAAGAGTTCCCGCTGACACCCAGCCCTCTAAAACAGTTCGGCTGAGTCTACCTTAAGGATATGCGAGACAGACCCCGGTCTTCCTGACCATTTGCCTCTCAAAGCGCTGAGAGAAAGGCGCCTGCTTGTCTGGACACAGGGTCCATCGGAACCCATGGCGGTTGTCCCCACCGCCTGCGGGAATAAGGCTAGGCAGGAGAGGCTGAGGTTTGGAGACCAGCTATGGCAGGAGGCACAGCAGATCCCCCTGTCGGACTGGGCTCCCCTCGCGATTCCAACCTCCCAAGATCTAAAGTGTCTCGAAGGGCGACCAAGCATTATCCAGGTGCTTCTGGACCTTTCGAGCACTAGGGTCGGGAAGCTTTGCCTAATTACCCGACGTGGAGACGCTCTCGCTGCGCTGCTGGCTGCCGAGCGCAGGTGGCGGGCAGACCCGGGTCTGGGCGACCGCAGGTTCGGGTCCAGCGGGCGGCAGAAGCCTCAGATCGGCGAGGAGCAGGCAGCGCGCACGAGCAGCGGCCGCGGAGGAGGGTTGCGCCCCGAAGCCGCAGAGGAGGCCCAGCCCCAGCGGGAGAGCCCCGCGCGCAGGGCAGGAACCGCAGAGTCCTGGCCCTGGGCCTGCGGCCTCCTCTGAAGCTTCACAGCTGGTTCCTAACCCGGGCCCCGCCGGAGTTGGCAAGTCGCCTTCCAAGCCCAGCAGGTCGTTGATGGCGAAGCTTCGAAGGCGAGAGCCGGTGGGAGGACAGCCCGGAGCCAGGGCTCTACTCCTAGACAGCCCATCCGAATGCCCGTCCCGTCCAGTCATGCTTCTCGGCCAAGAGAGAGAAGCTGAGCCCCTCTTGGTCACCTGTGCAAAGGAGGCTAGCTGGGGCGATGCTTTTTTATGCTGGGGAGGCTGTCCGTAAGATCAAGACGGCCCAGAAAGCGCCAATCAGCAGGGAGCAGGCGCATCCAGGCTCCCACCAGAGGTGCAGAGGCCACCAGCTCCCCTCCCCTGAGTCGTCGGCCTCCCGACTGCGATCCTCCTCGTCACCTCTTTTCTCTCTCCAGCTGTCCCTTACCCTCCCCACCCCCATGTTCTGGGAGAAGAGGAAAAGTGAGCAACAAGGGCCGCGTTGTCTGCCCACCCCCCTGAAACCCACAAGTCCCACATCCTGATGGGTCTCCCTTCTGGACACTCCGGGCCTTCCAGAACCGGGCACACGCCCCACTCTCCTGTAATACTTCGGGCGGGTTCCCAACCACACTCCCCTCACTACTACCCAAACCGCGTCGGCAGCCCCTTCAGCTCCAGCGCTCAGGCTGAAAATCCCTGAACGAAAGAACCGCTGACATTTTGCTTTTAACTCAAGGCCGGTCCCTCTCCCTCCAGGCAAACAGTAGAATGCAACAAATTCACAAAATCGCAGGAGCTTCGAAAGGCGATGGAGAGAGGAGAGGCAGATGTGGACTATGAGGGCTAAAACCGTGGCCAGGATTAACAAAAATACACGCAGCCCAGTGAAATTTTAATTTCCCATAAGCAATGGATATTGTTTTAGTATAACAATGTACCAGTATTTGATTCAGCAATCCTAAATGGGTGGGGAGCGTGGATTAAACAGGTCCATCTATCGGAACTCCTCACTGAGACTAACAAATCACCGTCCGGTTTTATGACTATCCAAAGACAACCTGATTGGCACATAGGAATTTCATATTTGTTGAAATTAGGACTAATTAAAACAAGTGAGCAAGCCACTCAGACTCCGCCCAGACACTCATCCTCTCGAGCGACCCTGCTCTCCTGCGGTTCTCAAAATCGCCCAGACAGAAGCCGCAGCTTTTGGAGACCTACAGGACATGGCGCTGCTCGCGACTTCCTCAGTGTGGGACCGGGTCAGAGCCCTGAACAACAAGTCTCCCTTGCTGTCTTCGCTGTGTGAGGGGGCGCCACCACTAAGCCAGAGGATTAAACAAGGGACTCTAAGAAAGACAATGACAAGAGGCTGCGCATTAACTTTCCATTATTAAAGGGAGACCCAAATCTCCCCTCCAAGCTGTTCTCCTGGATTAGCAAAGCAGTAACTTTCCTTCAGTATAATTGTCCTGAGTTGCTCGCGGGAGGGGAGCGAGGTTGTGGGGAGGAGTCCTTTTCAGCTCTGCTAGGAATGCTGCCTAAAATTTACCTTTGGATTTGGGGAAAACATCAGAGATACTGAGCCCTGCCAACTAGCAGCGTGATCGTTTGTAAATTTGGTCTCACGGTTAAGAAAGATACCCAGGAATCCACTCTTCTGTAGTCTGTAGGTGATTCAGCCATGGTCACCGGCAAGTAGAAGAGGCTCCAGCGACCTTGCCACAGAGATCCCCTCCCTCTCCTAGGTTCTGCCTTAGGAGGTAGATGGCCACCGAGATGACAGACTCCCCACACCCCAAGTAGATGCCAGAGATAAGCCAAAGGTAGGGGATGTAGGGGATGGGAGAAATGCCGGATCTCAGCTGCTGGCAACAGCCCAGAGCACATCTGTTTTAACCCTCTGAGAAAGATCTTACCAAATCAACCCATTTGCAGATGAGAGGCTATTCATATAAATCAAGTGGTCTTGTGGAACACGGGAGAGAAATGGAGAAAGTGAGGCAGAGCTTAGCTGAGGAAGGAGTGGGGTTAGGGCTCGGAGGGCTTAAGGAATCCTGCTATTCCTGAACAGAGGCGCCCCAGTGTTGCCTGTCTTGCATCTGGCAGGATGATTGGGGCCTGCAGGGACTCTGGCAGGAGAGCTAGACCTCTGGGCACCTTACTGGCAAGGGAACGTGATAACAAGGAATCCTTTCATGGGGCCTTCGAGATGGCTCAGAGGATAAAGGTTTTGGGCTCCCAAGTCCAGAACCCACACGTAGCAGAAGGAGAGAACCTACTCTCTCAAGTTGTCCTCCAACTTTCAAGTGCACCCATCCCCTGGCACACATGATTCCCTCCAACACACAAAATGAGAGAGAGAGAGAGAGAGAGAGAGAGAGAGAGAGAGAGAGAGAGAGAGAGAGAGAGAGAGAGAGAGAGAAAGAGACAGACAGACAGATGAGTCAAGGGCTGATTGGTTTTCTAAGGAACTTATACCCCCGCACCCCCACTGCAACAAATCCAATATCTGGCACCAAATGATGGAGACTCAACAGCAAGAGATGGGGAAGTGCTTTACTCAAATGTCCTCAAAAGAGGAGGAAATCACTTGTGGTCGTTTAAGAGATGAGGCACTAGAGGTGGCTCTGCCCCTGAGCCTACCCACACTGCATGTCCACCCTATCTCCAGGCAGATAAAACCACAGGGAGGTTTGCACCTCACCTTGGAGCTGTGGCAGCCTAGTGTGGACTCCTCTTGGCCTCCTCTGACCATGGGCAGCGTCTGCTGCCTCTGCCACCCCGCCCCCCCCCATGGAACCCTAAATCCATTAAGGAGTCCAGATCCACCTTCATCAGCCAGGATTATCTGGGATTTAACTAATCAAAGTTTTCCCTCTCATTATTTCCAGGGAATGTTTCCAGACCCTCTCTGATGCCAACCACAAATGTGCCAGTCCAGCGCTTCTCGTATTTGCCCAGTTTAGGTGCATTGTAGCCTTCCGGGAACCAGGCTGCGGCTTGTCCAGTTCGGGCTGGTTCACAGACACTGCTCCTCATCTTTTCAGAGCTGCTGCTGGCCTGGCAGGCAATACAAAATCCTGAGGTGTAACAGGAGTTGGATACAGTGTGGGGTGCTCAGAGTTGCTTCTCTGCCCTTTGTTAAATGTTGCTAGAGCCCAGTATATTAGCTCATACTTGTAATTCCAGCACTTGGGATGCTGAGACAGGAAAACCAGGACTCATCAGAGACCAGCAGGCTACCTGAGCTACAGAGCAAAAAACTGCCTCCAAACAAAACCAATCAAACAAAAAAGTTGTGGAAGAACTGTTTTTCCTGTTATTATCCCTTTCCTTGGTCAGTTTGCCTTAGTGCCCCAACCACTACACACCCATGTCCTCAGCTCTATATATTTTCCTGGGGATTCCCTTGGTTTTGAAACCACATTGCTAGCTAGCCACATGTGGAAAGAATGAGCAAGTTCTGAAAAGCCCTGGATCACAGAACAACAGAAGTGGATTATACACTGTCAGTTCAGCCACAGACATGTGCAGTGCACTCTACTCTGTCTCTGCAAGGTCCTGGTAGGTCTGTCCCCAAGGTCCTGGGAGGAATATCCCCAGAGTCCAGAAAGGACTTTTCCCAAGGTTCTGGTAGGAGCCACCAGCTGCTAAGAATGCAGAACTGGGCTTTTTGGTGGCTCTTCTCCATTGTTGGAGACTCTGAGGGGATGGGGTTTGGAGATAGAGAAATGGGTCATCTCGGAGCAAGCTGGAGATTCCAGTCAAATAGTATAACTATCTGAATTGTTCAGAGCCAGGGTTTGAACCCAAACAATAAGAACTGGAAGCCTGACCACTAGCAACCCTGCCTCCCTCTTCAAATCCTCTAAGAGCGGGAGGCCATCAGCACACTTTGGATCAAGGACAATCTCTCCCTACCCTCTACCTGGGAACTTTCACACAATCCCTGTCTCAGGCTCTTCTTTGGGGAAACCCAAGTCACTGTCCACAACAAGCCCTGGACCAGGGTCCAATGCTGATCTGATAGTGCTATGGGTGCCTTATTCTTCAACTTTTTCCTCTGAATTGAAACTGAGTAAAGCTTACAAGGTACAGGAAGCTCATAGAACTTACAGGAAGCCGGAAGCTTAGAAAGATACAAAGTTTATAAGATGGATGCATCGTCAGAAGTCACACCCGCTCGCTCGGGGTGGGCTTTTCAGTGATGCAGCTGCTTTGGAAGCAACTTCTCACCATAGTCTTAAATGCAACCACAACAAACTCATTGGTTTACCAAGCTAGACTTGGGTGGAGTTCTTTTCTTTGGTCTGTAGTCATTGCTTTATTCACTTCTTCCCAGGAAAAGTCATGAAACAACCTAGCACCAAGTGAATGAGTCCTGGGTGGACTAGAATGAACAGTGGGCTGTTACCCAATCCAGTTTCCTAGAAGAACTTCAGCTTCCTTTCATTTATTCTTCTGATCCCCAAGAAAACCTCACACCAAACTCTGAGACCACTTCCAAGAGCCTGAGAAGTCTGAGAGCATTACTTCCTGCCTTCTGTAGTCCCAGGAGGAAAGGAAAAAGAAAGATGTTGTAGCGAGTCTTTCTCTATACCACCAGCCAGCTCCCAAATAAAGACATGAAGATGTCTTATTAATTTTGAAAGCTTGGCCATTAGCTTAGGCTTATCCTACTAGCTCTTATAACTTAAATTAACCCATTTATATTTATCTATGTTCTAGCATATGGTGTTACCTCTCTTCCATCTTGTACCTCATGTCTCCTTTCCTTGTCTCCTGGCATCTCCACCTGTCTCCTTCCCAGAGTCCTGTCTGTCTTTGGAAGTCCCACCTAACTTCTTCCTGCCTAGCTATTGGCCATTCAGCTCTTTATTAAACCAATCAGAAGGCACCTTGGCAAGACACCTCTCTACAGTGTAAACAAATATTTCACAACAGATGTGAATAAATGGCAATGACTACAGACCAAAGAAAAAAATTCCACCCAAGTCTAGCTTGGTAAACCAATGAGTTTGTTGTGGTTGCTTATAAGAATATGGTGACAGGTTGCTTATGAAGCACAGTTCAATAGAACTCTCACAGACCAGTTCTGGGGTGGGTTCCCCAACTGCAGTGGTAGGTCACCAGGTGTCCGCACTGGCTACACCATTTTGGCTATGAGTGACCATCCTGAAACTCTGCTTTTGTTAGGGTTGAAATTTTATTTAT